AAAGGAAAGGAAAGGAAAGGAAAGGAAAGGAAAGGAAAGGAAAGGAACGGATAGGAAAGGAACGGATAGGAAAGGTGTTATGCGTTAAATATTGAAAAAAACAATGAAGACATTTATGGTGAAAAACTTCATTTCTATCATTTACAAGCTTGCTTGGAACGGATTCTGGACAGTTGCTGAGTGTATATGAATTATATTTATATACAGATTAATTTACTCTTTTCTCAAGCTTATTTATTTTTCTAACTCTGAATTAGTAAATCCCACCAGTTTGAGGAAATATTGCCGAAAAATTTGCGAATACTTTTATCTAGGCCTCGGTACACGCCGTTCGGAATACTTGTTTGATGTTTACTGCAGTCAATTTTTAATGAAAAATGTAATTTTTGACGTAATTTTTGAAAAAATTCATTTATGCAAGCTAAAAGCATAGACATAGTTTCGATTATAAATTTGGATTAACAGAATGGCTTCTCATCAAAGAGTATTTTCCGGAATGCTTCTATCTCGCCAATAAAAGTGTTCGCCTTTTTATTATTGAATTTATTCGGAGTAAATTATCTGTCTGTCTGTCGTATATTTATATATAAAACAAATCTTAATAATTGATGAAAGATATTTCGTGAAATTTCATACATTTTTGTAGGCAAACATTTGGTTGAATGGTTTACACCTTTGTTAACATAATAAATGTTTTGCTTTAATATATACATTTAATCAGCTGTGAACAAATTTAATGAATGAATAAATTTCAAGCGGATATAGAAAGTAAATAAATATATAAGTAAATAAACGAAGGCATTGAGAAGATTTAGAATCTACACAACGATTGAATAAATTCAAGGTTAATAAAACTACATAAGCACGTGATATGTAATACGTAATAAATTGTACGAATGACTTTAAAGTGATTATGTATAAAGCCCTAACGTTTCCAAGCAAACATACATACATACTACTCGTAATTCTGATATATCACAAATTAGGAAAAGCTATTTAATTCGTATTTGCTTCTTGTCCGCATCCCACATACAACTTTAGTTCCCTCAAACGCATATAACTTCCATACTCCCATTAATTATATTGAGCTTTTCTCATTTAAACGCAAAAGGGCAAATTTAGTCCGAAAAATGTTGTAAAAAAAATTTGAGTTTGCACCAAGTTCTACTATAAGCATTTTTCTTCTTCAACTCTAATGGATGCCTCATGATTTTTTCATTATGCTGGCTATTCATTTATTGTTATGTTTAACTAAAACTAACGTTTGTTTCGTAGACAGAGGAAAGTATTTTATTCAAGATTATTTCGGGCTCGTTTGTCTCCTTCTTCGTGCACTTATACCCTACATTACTTGTGATGCCGTACATGTTAGATGTGTGCGGGCATACGTAACGCTCCAGAAGGGCATAAGATAGGCCCAGCTTTTATCGATCGATCGTGTGTATTCTGTCGATGTAAATTTGTGTTCAACTTACAGTTCGAAATTTTTGAGATACTTTGATGAAATGTGGTACACTGCCGTGTCTTGACTCAAGGCTGAACCCTATTGAAAATGGTTCGGATCGGCCCACTTTTTCCATCAATCTCCAAAAACAAATTGCAACTCTAAATATCTTTCGACAAAACTCGCCGTGTTATAGTATTTCGTCGTTCCAAATTGAGGGCCTTGCTTGACTCTACTGTTCTCACCTGTATTCTCCTTCCGTATGTATATCACATGCATCTGTCCTTTCGCTTTCGTTTGTCGTTGGTACGCTCACGGTCATAGAAATTAAGAGTTGAAGTCAAATATCGATGTATAGTCTTAGTCGATGATTTCAAATCAAGCATTAAAATAAGCATAATTTGCACACACAACAAGCAAAAATCTATCACATATTATTTACATTAAATACTGGTATGAATGTTGTTGCAGCGAAAGTTCCATGGTGACCATCTGATACGATTATAATGGACAGAAACGACGTGCTTTTTTTTATTGGTTCCATAATTTGCTAAAAGCTTCTGAGCATTTGCACCGAAGCTTTGCGAATAGCGATTTTGGTACTGAAGACAAACATCGCGTAGACGCCACAAAGAAGTTACGAACGAAAGCAAATAGGCGATGAAAGACGTTTTTCTGTGGCGGCTTGCTTGCCTAGGGGGAAAGGCAACGATTTTTTGCATCACATTCTGACCAGTGATGAAAACTAAACTCGTTATAATGGTTCAACGCATGAAAAATTAGTTTACAATAATTTCAATAAAACGTAGGGTCATCCATTTTATGGTAAACGTAATAAAAGGCATTTCTGATTGAGATTTACTTCTTAATATACTTTTCAATATATTGTTTGGATCGCGCTACTATTTGTCGAACGTATACATAACATACATAATTGTATAGAAACGTACAGAAAATTGTTGGGACATATTACGGAAACAATGAAGCCGCGGTTATGCTTCGTGCGTGTGGTCCGATTAAATGACAGCGTAAATAAGAAATTTTGATCCTTCATAGTTAAATTGAAGAACTCATCAACTACTTACTTATAGTGCAATTGTTCATAATGTTTAGCTGTATGATCTTCTCTTGAGAACACTAATTATTGGTCCTTTTAATAGTTTTATCTCTACATCGATTCGCACTAAGCAACGTAAGTTTTATATTTTTGTATTTGTATTTTTTAACTCATAACATTCTACGCATCTCCGGCAGCAATGCTCTGCATTAACGCATGGGAGGCGTGCAAATCTGTAATATGATCGATGACATTATTCTGCGCTTCAACGAATAACAAGGAATCGATTAAATATAGAATTAGTAAACTTACATACAATTGTAATATAAAGTGTGATCTACGAGTGTATTAACTATGTCGTAGTTCATTTAAGTTAAATCAATAAATAGATTTATTCATTTTTTTATTTTTCTGAAAGCTTTGTTATCTTTCGCTATGGTTTACGTATTACGCATAGGTATGTAGATGTCAAACCGGAATTTTCATATACAAAATGAACGTGTGTTGCGCGTGTGTGTATGAGCATAACGAGGTTTATTATATTTGAAGTATTGCCCATCGCTAACTACACCGCCTATCTGACAAACTGTGGATGCAACGCCTTTAAAAATCTTCCCCTTTCGCCGTAAACCATTCACCGAGGCGCGTTTTTCACCATCGATGCAATCGAATGGTAATCCGAAGGCCTGGAGCCTAATTAGTAAGCCGTTGGATCCAGTACTTCCCAGTCGAATGATTCGAATCGATTATCGCGAACCGGTTTTGCAACATAAATGGCAGGGCGGGTGACGTGCAAACAAGTTGTACTTGCGTTGCTCTCTATATCCTGCACCACTTGTTGTGGCACAAAGTTATATTAAGTTTGTACGGGTGTATGTAACATCCAGATCGACTCCGAATCACTTCCTGAGTCGATTTAAGCTAGTCTGCCCGCCTTGTTTTCTTGTGTTTAACTTATAAGCGGCAATTTTTAAGATATTTTAAGGAGCTATGGTACACTGACGTATTGTAGCCTAAGAATGAACGCTGTTGAAAATTGTTCGGATCCGACCCCTTTTTGGCCCACTTCCCATAAAAAAACTTGTTTTAAAAGATTGTTATATGAACTTATATAGGATGGTGTAGGGCATTTATTGATGGACAATGACATACCGTTTTCGGGCCCCCGAAACGCTCAAGTCGATTACTTATTGTGAGCAGCTTTTGGCATTATTTTCCCAAACTATTTAACACCACACCACACCGTTTTGCTCCCTACCAACCACACAGTATCGTCTTTTTGCCTTAACCATTTGGTCTTGAGATAGGTGTGGATGACGCCTCGCGATCTACGTATGAACTTTTGCCCTTGGGATTCTCAAAATAAATCCACTTTTCCTTCCGAGCAGTGATACGATGCAAAATCGAGCGATTTCCATTTGTGCTCGACATGTTCAACGCATTGTTATGAAATGAAAACGAGATGAAATGGCGCCAATGACGTAGTTTAACGACAGCTACATGGACAGCGGTCGCCTTCTGATTTCATATTTACATGTCTGGTATTATTTGAAGTCTACTGAATTTATTTGTAGAGTTGTTTAAATAGCAAAGTGCTCTTCCAGATCCAAGCACTAGACATAATTAGTATAAAGCTATTGGACTAACCAACATAAGAAAAAATAAATAAAAGGTATACTCTGACGTTACTCGCTGAGTATTTATTATGTAACCAAAATTTAATTGATTGCTCGCACTTTTGTTGATCTCTCGCTGATCTTTTAGATATCCGTGAATGAACCTATTATTGATTTCTTGCTTTTTCCCTTAACATTTGAACAATCGATTGTTTGCTATCAGCTTTTTTGTAAAATTGATCATAAAATTGATTTTATTTAACTCCCTCTTAATATTTCTTTAATTGCATATTGTATTGCCTATGCCTTCATATTCTCAAATACTGCGTTGTTTTGATATTGGATGACGACTCGTCTGTTTACGCTTATGAAAAATGTTTTACGATACGATACAAATAAATTAATATTAAACTTTAAAATTTTTATAACTATTAACGCGAGTAATTAAATATGGCCTCTTATCGGTGGGACATAATAATTTACCCAATGATTGGGTGGAGAGCTTCTCTTTTTCGCCAGGCAATTGCAGCATATTATTCCAGTAGGCATTGGCACCTAAGCATACATGAAATGAATAATGGCAAGTGAAACGAAAGTAAATGATTTTAACTCACAAGCGGCCTGATGCTTCTGGCTGATATGAAAACAATCTTCTGAGGCATATGATCTGTCGGTGTAGCCATTCTTTAGAGTTGGATAAATATAGTCTTTGGTAAATGGTTGTATATTTATGGTGAACGTCTAAATTCGTATATTTATATATATTGTTAATTAACATCGTTTCTATTATAATGAAATGTTTATGATTTCGCTTACCTCGGTATTGAATTCGTCTCTTATAGCTACTTTAATATCTCTTTCAAACCAATTATTCATTAATATTTGCATGCTATTTACTTGCTCTTCAGATCTTCCCATTATACAGGGACATTCGAATTTCAATGTGGCATGACATTGCGGCGGTATAGACTTTAGTTTTCTTAGAAAACTCAAATTTGGTGCTGGCACTACATTCAACATTAGACGCGGTACGTTATCACGTAAATAACGGTAAGTTTTCAGCATATTTTCTTCATGCCAATCGATAGTTTTCATTGGATTCGGATGATAACAAACATCAGCACAAAAATCATTGCTCCCTATTAAAAGAGTGAATAATTTCCAGTGTTGCGTAATATTGACATGTGGATCATGTTTTAAACGTTTCACTAAAATTTTAGCCATATAGGGCATATCGCGTGACATTGCACCACCTTCAGCTACATTAAATCTATAAAAAAAAAAAAAATTTCAAAATTATAAGTATAAGCATAAGTCTAACGCCCGCAAATGGATAATGGATTTGGAAGTTGACTTACCGCGAATTTCTATCAATGCTTAAGCTATCGTTTAAAGAGTACCCGTATAAATTGGGATTGAATTCTTTTAAGATATTCGGCAAAGTTAAATACTGTTGCCAGTGTCCTTGCCCTCCAATAGACCACGATACACCACGATTTTCAACTAGGACTTGTAGAAGATTTGTAGCAAAAATCCCGTAACCAGCCGTCAAGGAATCACCCAATGCACCTACAATGTCAATGTCGCCTGGCCGCAAACGATGGACACTAGTTGGCACTTGCGGGCTACGAGCACCCGGCCCATTTTTACTATCACAGTTGGACAACGAACGGGTACGCTTACCCAATGCTTGTATTTTCTTTGAACATTAAAAATAAAAAAAAAATAAAAAAAAAAATTTAAAAAAGTATAAAAACTCATTTTATTTAAAATATTAAATATTAAAATCAATTTTTCTTTTTCTATTCTTTGTCTATAATCATACCCCACGTTCCTGAAGAACTTTATTATCTGGTGGATTTGTCAAGCGCGTCACAAAATCTAAATATAACGAGCGTAGTGGGCGATAAAATCTGTTCAATTCTATATCGAGTGCGGTACGCTGCGAGCAAACATTATAGTTTTCAGATATTAATGACACAAGCACATACAAAGTAACAACCTGAACATAACGCATTTTTTTTTTTTTTTCTCTCTTTAACTTTTAATTAATTTTTTTTTTTTTTTTTTTTTATTTTTTTTTTT